TGTGTTTCTGTGACACTGTTGTTGCTTGCGTTATATTTTGCCAAACAATCCATTTGGATTCTTCGCTATATTGACTAATTTTCCCCCCACTGGTTGAATTGAATTGACCAAACTTTTCATTGCCTTAGAGCACCACCTAAGTGATTTATGTTTTCATGTTAGTTCTGGTTAGGTCACTTTGAAACACCCCCAGGTGCTGAACTTGTCTCCTCTGAACCTCCATATATTTAGTTCTTCTCTGCATGTCGCTGAGTATGGGTTTCAGAGAGAACTTGGCATGGCAGAAACAAGCCGTGATAGCAGTGGGAGTAGGAGGGAAAGGAGGAACAAGAGGCAAGAGAGGGTCACTGAGGTCATATTGCTGGTGTTTTTCTCTTTGGTTTCCCTCTTGAATTTTTTTATGGGGCCAGTCACTTGGAAGGGCTACATTTTTTCGACTGTCCAAGTTTCTCTTTCCAAATCTGTTTTCCTTCTGTTCTTTGTGCTAATCCCCCATCCTAATCCAGGCCCACAGGGAGAGCTAGAATTTGTAGATCTGTGCTTAATTAACAGTGGTGAGGCCATTCTTGCCTTCTTCCTGATTTTAGAGGGAAAACATTTAGCATTCAGCATTTAGTGTTTCATCATTATGTAAGGAGCTAGCTGTAGATTTTTTGTAGATGCTCTATTGAAGTGAAGAAGTTCTTCTTTATTCTCAGTTTTTTTTTTCTGTTTTTTTTTTTTTTTTTCCTTGAATGAGTGTTGAATTTTGTCAAGTACTTTTTCTGGATAAATTTATATCGTCATGTGATTTTTCTTTTCAGACTGTTAAGATCATGGGTTACATTGATGGATTTTTGAATATTTAACCAACTTGCATCTCTGGAATGAATCCCATGGGATACAATTATTTTAGAATCTTGCTGAATTGTATTTGCTAATATTTTATTAGGGTTCTTTTGCATCTATATTCATGAGATTTGGTGGTCTGCAGTTTCCAGTTTTGTGTTGTCATCCTTGTGTGGTTTTAATGTCAGTGTAATAGTGGTCTCATAAAATGATTTGGAAAGTGATCTCTCCTCTTTTATTTTCTGTAAGAAATTGTGTAGAATTGGTATTGCATCTTCCCTTAAACACTTGATAGAATTTTCCAGTGAAAGCATAATCTCCATAGGGGCCTGGAGATTATTTTTCAGAGTTTTAAATTTACATATTCAATTTCCTTAATAGTTATAAGACTGTTCAAATGATCTATTTCATATTGGGTGAGTTGTGTTAGTTTTTGTTTCTGGGGGAATTGGTTTTTTTTCACATCTCTTTGTCAAATTTATGTGTGTAGAGTCATTTTTAATATTCACTTACTATCTTTTTGGTATCTCCAGAGTCTGGAGTGATGCTCCCTGTTTCATTCATGATAGTCATCCTTTATGTCTTCTGTCTTTTTGTCTGTCAGTCTCACTAGAGGGTTGCCAACTTTATTGATCTCTTCAAAGCACCGTCTCTTTTTGCATTACGTTCAGCCATTCAGGAATCTCCAAGGCAGCTGCTTCTCTTTTCAGTTCAGGTTTCTCCTCTGTTCTATTATACTCCGCATACTTAACACTTTCAATTGCCGTTCCCCATTCCTGTGGCCTTTCCATTCCTCTTCGGCGTCTTGGCAAGCACTCCATTACTGTGTACCCTTCCTTTTGACCTTGCTTTTGAAAGGTGATCACATCTTGCTGGTATTTCAAGAAAGTCTCATTTTTATATAGATTGGTTTACATCATAATTACACAAACAACTGTGAATTCTACTTAGAACCATTATAGCTACCTTGTAGAAAACTTGACTAATAAAACTTAAAAGCATTGGCAGCTATCA